TATATATATATAAATAGAATAATAAAGACCAGTTAAAATTAATAAGACATGCAAATTAAAACCATTACAAAGAATAAACTAAAACTACATAAAATCATCATCAACTTTTGTCAAAACTGCGTCTAATGCAGTTGCAGCCAACTTTCTTTTGAATGCCTCCCAACAGCATAGTCACTTATAATGGTCGGCTTTGCTGATAGTAACATGAACACCACCTCAGGGTCTTAAATCGCACTTAAAATTAACACCTGCACGGTGAGGAATGAATGCGTTCCACCAGCCAATCTGCTAACACTGCAGTAACCCACAAGCCACAACTTTCACCTCCATGGATTCCCCTCCCCCTGTCATTTTCAGTCCTCTATATAAGCAACAAGGTCAGCAGTTGCTCAGGGAGCTTGCTCTAAATATTTCCCAGCTTGGTTTTCAACATCAGGGATTGCCTTCTCTTGTCTCAGAGCTGAAGTGGTCATACACCTATAGAGTTTCAGCTGGAACAGAGTTTGAGTTTTATTAACTAGGGGATTTGATCTGCCAGAAGGCCTCACATGGAGAGGTTGTGCTTTTTGTGCAACAATTTACATTCACAGAACTTGATGCTATCTTTTTGTCACACGGAGCACTTGCTGTTCTTGTTCTGTTTTGAAGAGGGCTTTGAAGTTATGTTGTGCATAATCGATAGCATTTGGATGAATTGACGTGGCAGCTGTCCTCTGATTGTTTTGATAGAAGCGAGAGAGAAATGTTGCGTTTTTTATTTCTCTGAAACCTGTGTGGGGTTTTTGTTTGAAACGAATATTCTCCTTAAAGGTCCCCTGTTTTTATCTATTTTGTCAAACAAATTATAATGATTGATCTGAAAGGGGAAGTAGAAAGGAAATTTGCATCAGTTTCCAAAATCTTGGCATAATGTGTGGCGTAAATTGAAATTAAGCACGTTCAGAGTAAGTCACAGTGATTTATTGTGGGACTGTCACAGCTGTTAACACACTTCCAGAAAAAGTGAGAATCTTTCACATTGTTCTGTAAATCTGAATTTGACACTAGAGGGATGTTTTCACATTCGTCTGCTAAAGGGAAAAGTTTCTCTGATCATTGAAAATTAGATTTTAAGTGGCCTACGAGCATGATTTGTGACATCACATATAGTTTGGATGTCCAGCCTGGTCCAGTATGTAAATGACCTAACTGATGTAGGCCACCAGTCACATACACTGAGAATGGACTTTACACTGAAGTAAACTTTGGAAACGAAATTGCACATTTACAGATTGTGGGACTTTTTAGATGACTTTAATGATTTTACACAGACAGAACACATCGGACACACGTTATTGTTCCAAGCAGACTATTTGTATATATGTCTTTAATACATGTTTACAGGGGATCTTTAAGATTTATGCTGTATTGTTACTGTACTCTGTGAATGGCACTGGGATGGTAACTACACATTGGAGGATCAGCATTAAATCTTTGGATTTTTTGTTTCTTTCTGTCTATGTCTGCCATTTGTGTGTTTTTGTTTCTGTGCGTAGTCCCGGTCTGTGTTTTGCTGAAGCTGATGTTGAAAACATACTTTTTCTATATTCTGAGTGCTTTGGTCTTGGTTAATAGTTGCTTCCACAGCTGCAGTGATGATCTTTTTTCAGTGTCTTAACCCCCTTTTGTTTTCAGAGGGTGATGCAGAAGAGACAACTGTAGTCCTGACTAAGGGGGCTGAAGGGAAAAGCATTACAGGTAGAGGCACTGACACTGCCCATTTATACTGGGTGACTGTCAAACTATTGTGAAGCTGGTGAATTTAAACTGGGCTTTTGAGTTGTTGTTTTTTTTAATCTGCTAACTCAATGAACACAATGAACGCTTTCCATTGTTACCACTTTCATCTACCTATCACCATTTTTTTTTTTTATTACCAAAATTGTGTGTGCTCATTCCGTCCTTATGGGTAACTTTCAATATACCACTGCCATAATAACCACAAAAACACAATGGGGGCTTTCTGCACTTAATTTTCCACTTCATTGGACTTTCCATCTTTGAATAAAGATTGAGACTATAATTCAGCCCACTGGGATTAAAGCTATTAACCTCTCTCCCGCTTCCTCGTCCTCCTCGTCCTCCTCTTCCTCCTCCTCTTCTTCTTGCTCTGTAATGTCTGACTTTTGCAGTTGGCTTTATTTTCAAAGCCAGTGCTGCCATAACAGACTGACCTCAAACGGTGCTAACTGACCATTTTGTGTTTCAGAGATGGAAACGGACATCACCGTGGGACGAATAGTAGGCTCAGGTACATCTGCAGCCCCACCAGCTGAACCCCTACCCATCCTGGTTTTGTGTCCACCATTTAAAATACAATGACAAATTTCATATTTGGGCTGGCAAGCTAGCAATATATTCAAAAAAAAGTCAGCCAGATCTGTTACTAACAGGGAACGCTATAGACGTTTACCAAGTAAATTCAAATTGTTACAGTAATTGAATTTGATTTGATGACAACTAATTAGGAATTAAACATCTGTCCAGCCATCATCCTCCACATGAGGCTGCAGTGTGATACAACACTGCCCTCTGTTGTCTTGGCTCAGTAACAAATGGTAGGCAAGTAAAGCAGCCTGCAGGAGCTTTGGTGCATAATGCTGTAAGGTTCCACATATAAACATCTGTCTTACTGGTAGGATCCCGCTGCTTTAATTTCTCCCAAGCCTCGACTTGGCCCTCTGGCTGCTTTATGCTTCTCGACAGAAACATAATGCACACACATACACTCGCTCATATTGGCTGCTATGGCAAAGTCCCTCATCCTCCAGGGCAGTGCTTGGATCCTTCCCTAATCAGCCGTCACGCATTCCCATTGTCCCTTTTCTTTATCTTTTTCCTCCAGCTTCTCTGTGAAGACAAGATCCGCAACCACAGGAGTAATACCACGCTCTTCCTACTTTCAACTAATGCTATGTCATGCTAGATCACTATTACAGCATTTTACAATTAATATATTAAGTGTTTTATAGACCCTGCAAGAATAATGATAAAATATAAGACTGCAGTAAATACTCAAATGACATAATTAAGAATAAAATCCTCATTTCTCCATCTCCTAGTTTTCTGTGCTTCTGCCTCAATGCTTCACCAGGCACCTATTGGCTGCCTCTTTGGTTGTCCATAGGTGATCTCTAACTTTTCTAACTTTATTTTAAACTCAACAGATTGTTTTGGCTGGCTTCACCCTAACCTTGCTTGTTTGTCACAAATCCTTAATTCTAATGCTTATTTTCTTTTACATTTGCCATATTGTTTTCCCTGTGAAAGATCCACAGGTTGTTCCCAACTACAGCTAATGAGCTGCTAGTTGAAATTATGTAGATTGGATGACCAGAGCTAATGATCCAACTATATAAAGTTTCAACCCCAAAGATACCACACTTTCTATAACTGTGCTTTGGGACCTGCGTGGTAATGAACCATTTCCATCTCTGTTTTTTTCTTTCTTCTCCAGTGTATGATAAGCAGGGCTTTCTGCTGCAGCTGGACACAAAACTGTGAGTACATCTAGTAAACATTACTGTCATTTAATCTTAAAATGCTTTGCAATTCTCCATCATGTACTATGGGATATTGCTGACGTGTTTTATTTAGAACAGCTGAATTCCCAGTTAGACTTTGACTCCATCAGTTTAGATATGTTTTACAGCTTGTTCCACTGGGTACTTATTCATACAGGTTCTGCTTGATCAATGGGGGAACACGAAACATGAAAATGTAAACCTTCGACCAATTAATCTCACCTTTTTTTTTTTAAATAAACACACAGAATCTCATTGGAGACCTAACCCAAACCTGGTGACAAATGTGCAGATGCAGTTGGCGGTCTGAGTAATACATTAAGAGATTTGTGTGAATTGAGATGTAGTTGGTGTTTTCCCGTTTATTCCGGAGCGGCTGTGGTTAGTCAGGGTGAGAACATGCTACACTGAGTCATTATGCAGCTGTCATTGTGTCAGCGTGTCTGTTGATATGTGTATAATTCCCTGAATTGGTTTGACACTCTTGCTCTAAACTGCCACGATAAGGCCCTTTCTCTGGCCCTCCCATTACCATGCAGGCAATAATCATATGCTGCCATCACCATCCTGGCTCTCACAGGGCATGTCTGTCCACACTCTGCACACACACTGTAAGCACCATGTCAGCATGCACTTTTAGGTGGTTCTCACATATGTTCAGTTTATCTAATACAGCTCCTTGCATTATATCTACAGTGTCATTAATTACTACATTAGAGCACATGCATATGACAGTGTAATTCATCTTAAAGCTAGTAATTAGTTTTGTGACTTGGGTCATTTATTCTGGCTGGTGGTCTGAGTGATGGAAAAGTGCCCCCTAGATTTTATTCTCACTAAATCACCAGCTTCAGGTCAGTCAAGGCCAAACTGCAAGTGAGCAGCATTGTAGCTTACTGAAATCTATTATTTTAGCACAGAAGAGCTTCAAATTGTGCACAAGCAGGCTGCAGGCGAGCTCCTTCTCCTGCAGCCAACTTGGATTTTCAGGCCTCGTGTATAGTGTTAAGACCTGGGCCTCTCTCCCATCTCCTTGTTTATTTGAACTAGATTCATGGCATACATCAGGTTATTAATGGTCATGCTAGTAATCGGGAGGTTTCAAGTTCTAGCACTGCCAGTGTGATTATTTGAACAAGGCCCCTCTGCTTTGTCTTGCCACACACAAGGTGATATGCTGAGCTGTTGCTGAGTTCTCCAACTTCCTTAGCAACCCCCGTTTTTCCCCTATCTCCCAAGCAGATTGTTTGACAATCTCAGTTTTTGAGGCTTAGAAATGTACAGGTGTGATTGATAACCTGTCGTCATGATGTGTCTGATTAATTGCTCTCTCTGTTCTTTTAATGTACAGGCCACCAGAGTTGGCATACAAGTATGGAAACCTCAGCGAAGGAGTGTGCAAGCCAGGATATGCAGCAGCAAAGATGACCGCCATATATCCTAAGTGAGAATCATTGCTCTTGCTTTTGCACACGACAGTGGGTTGTGGGGATGCTTTGGATGCAGACAAACTCTCTGTGCTTGCTCCAAGAACTTCACAGACACAATCGGGGGGCTTCACAAACAAATCATTTTAATTGGACGTCAGCAGGAGAAAAGCTAAAACTGTTACTCGAGCATACCAAGATGCATGATGTCACTCCTCAAGCTAGCTTGGCCTTAAGGGTTTTGAGTCAGAAACAGAGAAGCCCCCACATTCCTGCCCAATCTTCCCTAGTTTCAATCATGTTTCTATCATCTTCTCCCCCACCACAAAACCCTGACTGTGTCCTTGTGATCCCCCTGTTACACAAAAGAACCTTTGTCACCCGAGTACAAGGTCTCCCATCTTTCTCATATCGTACTCTAGAGCCTTAGAGGCTTTCTCTATGAACGGCACCAACCAACTTCCTGTCCTGACTCATCACGAGCTTCCTGGTACCCAGCCCACACAGTCCACACAATCCTCCACGGCCCTCTCTGATGTCATTGGCTCTTTTGATTTTTCTCTTTGCCTCTATTTGCCGCTCATCTCAGCTCAATCTATAGGGCATTGTCCCATTGGCATTCTTGGAGCTAAGCTAATAGAGGGGATATTTACTGCATTGCTAGTGGCACTTCAGTGCTGTACTTGACAGTTATATGCCAGCCCATTTCCAAACATAACTACTGAAGCCAATTTGTCTTTTGCCTGAAGATGCAAAATTACATTGTGAACTAGTTCAGCAACAAATTCCAATACATTACAAAACTTTTTTACTTTTTACATTTTATGCCCATAATAATACAAATAAGATGTTCTCAAAGTGTTTAAGTGAGTCTATCCAAAGCATATTGCATAATCAATACAGTATCTGTTGAATGAATTGACAGACCAACTGTAATCGACTGAGCCGCACTGTCAGCTGTAAATTGCAGCGCTATTTAACAAGACAGACGAAGGCGTTTTGTGGAGCTGCCCTCTACCTATCTGAGAGGCTACGTGTTAACAATGTCCTCCCTCGTAATGACTTCCTCTAATCAGCCGCACGTGTCGGATCAAAGTTCTGTACAACACAGAACCCCCACAGAGAGCCCACTGATTACTACCACCTTCAACCCAGTCACACACAGGTCAATGAGCCCAATTAATGCTGCACTTGGTGGAAGTTTGTGTGTACAAATGTGTTGGTTTGCATGAGTGTATGGTTGAACCTACACAATACACAAAGAGTTCACCAATTAACATCTTGTTTGTTTACTGGTCAACAACAACAACTTTCTTAATCTCAGTCTTTACCAGGCAAAAACAAATCAGTTTAAAAGTATACTTGTTAGCATTTTGGCCTACAGTTCAGCTGTTAGAGAAAACCTAGTTAACCTCTAGCAGTAAGGTCCTGTGGCTCTCTAATCATCTCCTGCTTCCTCCATGTTTGTCTTCTCTGAAGCCCCTGCCCTGCAAAATTCAATTTATTTTCAACACCCCCCCTCCACTCCGCTTTACCCAAAACTGTTTGTATTGGAGTCCTAAATCAAGTGTTGGCAGTGAACTTGAAGCGGCACGGTTATGAAAATATTTCCTTTGAGAGATGGATCTAGCAAAGGAAATGAGTACAATGCGTCCTTGCGCATTGGCTGTTTTGGGTGCCCTCAGTTTTTATTTAACAACAAGCAGCCCCCTGTCTCTCTGCTTTGTCAGGATGTCAGTGACGGACTGTCGGTCAGGGCTCAGTGACTTGCAATGGTCCTGTGTTATTTATAGCCCCTTATGGCCTCAGAAGTCTTGGGTTTAATGAATCTCCATTTGTTTTGGCAGGACAGAAGTCTCTGAGTGTGTGCCACTGTCAGGTGATGTGAGTAGAAGAGAGAGTCATACATAACTGCGTCTCCTCTTGAGTCTCCCTCTCACTCTCTGCCTTCATGCTTTAAAACTGGCAGATAATGAGGCTATCAAAGACCGATTAGAGTGCTTGGATGAGGTTTAAGCTAACCGGAAGGCCTCCCAATAATGTTGGCCATGTTTGGTCATTGTGCCTCAGAGCTCTACATACTTCTTGTGAACCCATGGCAGTGTTATGGTAACAAGCTATCCAAGATTCATGCTGAGAAGCACAGGAGTGTGATGGTGCTTGTGTGTCCTCTCCTGATTCCAGTTTAAAATGCCTTTGCTTTTGTTAGTGTCGTCTGCCGGCTCTATGGGTCCATGATTTACAGTTGGTGAGAAGAAGCAATTGTTCTGTTGCTGGTGGTCTGGTTTCCGGTAATGATCTCTGTAACTGTCTCCTGTCATAAACAAAATAATATACACCAACTCAATAGATCTCCCCAAGGCGCCTTGCATTGTCTTTTCTGTGTGTGTTTGTGTCCTGATTGATCATTTCAGTCTGACATGGAAACGCATGGAGCTCCATGCATGCTAAAGTCTCTCCCTCTCCTCTTGTGTCCGCCCAGCCTGACAGCAGGTCATAAAAACACACATCCATCCTGAAGCCACACTCAGGTCGCAGGCATGGCTTAGAGGAAATGGCTTCTTTTGATTTTAGAGCTGCAGTTAATCAAAGGGACACACACACTTCTACAGACACACAGGATAAGGAAGAGGCGATGCTGGAAGTAGCAGTTCATGGGGCATTGAACATTGGTCACAGACGTGTTTTTGAATATCAAACTCAAATTTGTTTTTTAATGGGGCAGGATGGCTTTCTTTCTTGCTGAATTAGTTTAACTTGTGATGGGGCCAACACATATATATGTGTTGGCCCCATATATAGATATTTCATATTTACCCTCACACCTGTGTGAATTTTCTGGTCACTTTTTTCTCTCACAACTGCCTCCACTTATTATAATTTGGTTTATAGAAACAGTCCTGGCCCAGATCATTCGAGGAAAAGCATTCTGGCACGAGTATGTTGTCTCAGCAGATTTATCAAAACCGTGTGTCAGCTGTGATTTAGGCCTGGGTGGAGAGGTTATGTTGATGGGTTATGCACTGCAGCTGCTTTCTGCCTCCTCAGTTTTTATTACTTAGTCTTTAGTTACCTTGCTAATGTGTGTGTGTGTGCAGGCTTTGCTTGTTTGGGAGGCTGTTATGTTAATGAACAAGTGAATTTGTTCATCTTTTTGTAGATGAAATGTTTCCCAGGTCATTAACACTACTGTCCCAGTTGGAGCAGGGATTATGAGAAGCCAGAGGGCCTCTTTATAGAGAAGAGAAAAAGTGTGGTCGGAGAATGCACGACAAAATAAATTAATTGATTACAGGAGAAAAGTCATTATTACAACATGGTGCGTTTATTCTTTGTGCTCAGCTAATGACAAATGTCTCTTCTGTCTTCCTCCTTCCATTCTTTCCTGTGTCTCATTGCAGGTTCATGAAACCAGCACCAATGTTTCTTGATCGGAACTTCAAACGTCTGGGAAAAGTCAACAGTTACTTACCTCCATTTGGATTCAAAACACAAGGTAAAAAAGGTTCATTCGATCATTTACTGTCCACTAGCAATCTACAATTCATTTCTACAATTAATTTCTTGAATAATGTGTTCAACGATGGTGTCCATAAAAACCAAGTTTAAAATGTTTTTGATCTGTTGTGTACACATGGTTGCCAACACTGAGCCTGTGTTGTTAGTGCTACTCTTTGTATGAGCTTTAGATGCTGTGTTGGGAGCTTGCCAGTGGCTGCATAGATCTATTTATCTTAGAATAATAAACCATCTGATTGGGTTGGTGTCAAGTTCACATTTGTGTTTTTTCAAGTTGCCAACATTACACTTCAAAAGAGGTGATGAAATTAAAAATAAAAAACCTGTCAACCTTCTTCCTTTATCATCAGGGTTTATTCTGCTTCTCATACTGTATCGACTTGTGGCATCAGTGATATGACTTGTCAACTTCTCTTATGAGAGTTATTCTGGTAACCTGATATTCAGACCGAATTGTCATTCTGTTTTCCTGTTCTAAATTTCTGAAAACAATCAGGGATGTCAGTGGTTTAGAAGTATGAAACCAAGGTAGTTATTATATCCTGCTCTTTGCGAGCTCTTTTCATCCTCAAAGTTTCTCTCTTGATTGTTCAGCTGTGGAGAATGCCAACGTTCTGCCACTTTTCACTTCTCATAATTTGTCATTGTTGTAAGGCTGATGTTTTTGGCAGAATATATTCTGCCTCAGGGTTGTTACTCCTGTCTTGTCCTGAGCTGAGACAAAAGTGATATTATAAAGAACATGGTCAAGACATGCTCTATATAAAGTGTTCTGAGAGAACTGTTGTGATTTGGCGCTATATAAATACATTGAGATACAGTTTCTATTTAGTCACATTTAGTCTTTACCAAAGTTAGTCATGAAATAGTAGAGCAAGCAGCAATCGGAGATGTCAGAAACAGTTGCTAAACTGCAGCCTGTTTAATGCAAGACAATGCCTAGTCTTTATCTCACGTCACCCATGCTTATTGTTATTGTTAGTATTTTGAGTAGGGGTGGCTTCTGATAACTGGTTTCAGGCATTTTAGATCTGGTTCCCAGTTGGCAAATTACCCAGATTTTTTAAACTCTGATGGCAACAAATCATTTATCTCTCCTTAGTCCTTTTTGTTAGCAAAGAGCAATGTAAAAAATACAGGCAGCAGCCTTCTAGCTTTTGGTCGACTGTCTCTGGATCAAATGACAGACATCACCGGCTGCAGACTAGCTCAACTGTGGCTAATCTGTAACGGTTTAAATGAAAAGTTGGGTTAAAAGTTAATGTACTCTCTGTTGTGTTCAGCTAAAGATTGTTTGTAGCTGAAAAGGCACATTACTCTGTAACATGACTAAAGTGACCAGTAAGTGGACATTGTGTTGGATTACCTCATGTCAGTTTATGGTTTACAATTTAGGCACCGCAGGCTTCTGTGTTTGTCATAATATCAACCTCATTAGTGATCTGCATTTGTTTGCGAGATGAATTCTATCTTGGGACCAGGGAGCTCATGTCTCCCAACACTCTGACTTCAATGCCTGCCCACACACTTGTACTTGTTCCCTGACCTTAACACACTCCAGGACTTCAGATATCAAACCAGTACACGATGCCATGGGAACTGAAGAGATAACATTAACCTGGCTTCAGAGACATGCTCTGTCACATATTTTCCAATACTTAGAGGCAGAAGGTACAGTGACTGTTACCTTTGTGTTCTCCGCTTCAAGTTCTCCGCTGTCATACGAACACACACGCACAGAAATACACACATTGTCTCGGTCGCTATCAAAAGAGCACTCCCCGTGTGAGTCTTACACCTGGTTTCTGTTTTCTCCACGGACTGCAATGGCAGTGGGGTTTCCCTTTTAGTGGTACTCATGTGGAGAGATGATACGTGTGGATCTTGAATAGAACGCCACAAAGGATTCCAAATTGGGAACATGGGGTGGTGATGGTGGGCGGGAGTTTTATTTTTACTTTTTATTCTGCCAAGAGGTATCTTTGGCACACATCAACCATAGCCTGAGAACAGTAAAGCTGTGTTGATTCGGTCTCAGAGAAAAAACTTACTTGCAGCACTGCAGGATGCCAGTCAGCCACTGAATGGTCATTTTCAGTACTAGGCTACATTTTCCATTATGCTATTCTGTCTAAATAATATCCTTCTGCAGTCCAAAGGGAACTTAGTAGAGCTGTTTACAATACATGATGCTGTTATGCAGTTAAAGAAGTAATCACTGTTTGCTTTGACAAACCTGGATGAAAATGTTTTAATGTTTAAATCATTTAGTTGTACTATTAGCCTTTTCCTAAGGATTACATGTTGATAAACTGAACTGTTTATAAAGTGGGTGGAGTTTTGCATTACAAGGTAATAAGGAACTCTTTTAATAGTTGATTAATTATGTCAATAGTTTTTCAAACAAGAATAATGAAGAAATGTCAAACCTTTTGTAGATACAGCTTCTCAAATGTGAGTATTTGCGTTTTTTGTCATTCTTTGAGAACTGAGATTCTTTTTTTTTCAAAAAAATTGCACTAATGATCAATTTATTAATAAAAAGTAATACAAATCAGTACTTGCAGCTGTTCAGTGCTTTATTTGGGAAACCTGTTGGAAAGGACACAATGCATTAAAGAGTTGCTGCTGAGTTATTATCTGTCATTAGGTCCTATAATGATAGGAGCTACAGTTGTGCGCAATACTTGGAAGACGTGTGGAATATCATCATGTTTGATGTACACAAGATTGTAGCAGTTTAATTATCTTTGCAAAAAAAAATAAGGTAATAACGATATTGTGATAATCGTGAATATCTAAACATGGCTTGACTTGAAAGCTCACCAGCATACAGTCCTATATTGATTTCCTGGTTCATTTTGAACAAAGAGACAAGGGGGAGCCCGCATTTTTTCAGTCATTCCAAAATCCTATGGTTGTCACCATGGCTGAAGGCTCGGCTTTCCTGTTGTGTCAAACTGGTGCCAAAGATTAGAACCCCTCATATTGGCAGTCTACAAAATGGAAACTAAGATGATACCGCCTTGGTCTGTGCAGCCACTTTTCAGGATTGTTCGGTTAATATCTTTGATAAATTACTCCTCATACTGCAATCAAATGATCAAGTTTGTCTTTTTGGATGTTGAGTCAGAAGCCAACCAAAGTGCGAGCCTAACACATACCGATCTCTCATCGCATAATTCTTTTATATTGTTTAGGCTACGCTCTTACCAACAATGTGTCTGTGTTTATGTGTTACGTGATGCTTCCGACCTTCCTCTAAGTTACCAGTAAAGATTTTTGTCATTTCAAGAGTTCCATGTTGGACTAATGTCTGAACCTACAGCCATTCGTCTTTGGCTCTACCACGCGACATACTTGGCTGAAATGTTTACCTCGGGTACTTAAAACAATTAGCTTCCATGTCGTCCTCTGGAAGAGAGTCCTGCCCATTGTGATTTTTCACTTTTCACCCGCTTGGATCCAGGTGTGGTCCTCAGCCTTGTGTTTATGCTGCTCGGGGTGATGCTTGACGCCAGACATCGACACCACATCCAAACAATGGGCTGTTGCTCTGCTCGCCTCTCTTCAGCAGGTTAATCATTAGGATCATTAGCCAGGGTGAATGGGCTGTAATATGTCTTACAAACTACTTTGAGGGCCCCAGTCTAAACTCTCTTGTTCTTACTCTCTCTTCCACTATTTCTCTTGGCCAACCCTCGCAGACTATGTGCTATATGGTGATTATATTAAGTGAAGTAGAAAAGGCAATGAAAATGCCTCTCGTCTGCCAAGGAGCTAATGTTTTTGGTGCTGTTTGTTTGTCAACAGGATTACAG